TAATTACTATTGGGGAAATAACGGCCTCACATGACAACAGGGCGGAATCAGTACTGACGGGACAAACTGATAAGTCGCGACTTACATAAGACGCAACTTAAATAAGACGCGAGTTTTAGGCCCTCAATTATTCTTCAAGTCGCGTCTTGGATAAGATTTTTAGCTGTTCTTATTTAAGTCGCGTCTTAAATAAGACATTTTGGATAAAAAGTCTAACTATACACATGCCCGAAACTTGAAACAACGTAAAATTATTAGCCTTGCATATTAAAACAAAAACAACCAAAACAACATTATAGCTATAGCAAGTAAATAAGACTAGAGCCGTAGAGAACCATCCGCTATACGATAACTCCGCTTATATAAGACGCGTCTTATACAGTTTATAATTTCTATAAACTGTGGTCTTATGTAAGTCGCGACTTATTTTGTCCGGTATGGCCCTAATGTGGTTTAACATAAACTGGACTTGGTTCAAGTCCGTCATGTACGCGAGCGGTGAGAAAAGAACGGTGCGCGCATGAGACGCAGTTGGGACATTTGCAAGCGTACCAAAATTTACTGTCTGACTTTTCCTATGGAGGCGTGAAACTGTCGGTGGAAGTGCTATATGAGTATTTCACTGGCAACGATTGAGGATTGGAACATTTAAAATAGAAAACATTTTTAAAGCACATATCGCCGTGTGAGCTCGAGATTAAAATGTAGCTATGTTGGGTTTGCAAGATGAATGGGTTTGCAAGATGAATTTTGTTTCCTCTGACTGTCTGCCATGAGATAGGTTTGCCACAAGTCGACCTCGAACGAAACACGAGCAGCGATTTCGACTTGTGGCAAGTCTAGCCATGAGACTACAGTTTGCCAAGCTATATAGTTTACCAGACAGGTTTTGAATTGGTGTTTCCAGTCTTTTCCTCTCTATTGTCTAATTGTGGGAGGGTGGGGGGGAGAAAAACATATACGGACGACATTTGATGTTAGTAATATTTATTGTATCTGTAAACGAAGCGGATATATAAACATACAGTACCCGGCAAGACATATTAAAACAAGTTGGTTAATCCATGATCTGCAGGGTAATCCATGATCGCTGTAGTCATGAAATGAATTCGTCTGAATTAAGTCGTCGTTTGAAACGAAACCATTTTAATGTCGACCAATTGATGAATTTAATAACGAATTAAATTCGTCTGAATTAAATTCGATGTGACGACATGTTATGATGAAGCCGGCCTATGGGGCGCCAAATGTGTCCCCATACTATGCGGCCTATTCTAATACACAATATGAAGACAGAAACAAGCAAGGCAGCAACATTAACCTCAATCACGATCAATTTATTTTCAGATCACCCAGTTTTCGTAGTTCATTATTTACCCAACCTTAGTTATATAATTGCAACTTTGCCTATTTTATAGGACAAAAGACGTTTCATTGCATATTTGGCTTCCCATATCAGTTATAAGAGCACACTTAGCTTGAATGTACTTGAGTTTGGCGACACTGAGATTTTAGAGTACTTTAATTGCTGGGGGAAATAAGTTAAATAACGGCAACAAATAATGCGGTTTGACATCAAGATTCTTCAAAGTTTAAGTGAGACTTGGTTCATGCATGTCCGTCTCTAAAGGGGTTCAAAATGAACAGACGTTTGCGGTTTGCTAATTCCGTCGCACGATAAAGTATAAGAATGGCGGATTGCAACTTATATACCCCGTAACCCTGAAGGTTGTTTCTCGGGTTGTGTTGTAAAGAATATTCCGTTGCATATATAATGCAGTCTTGCACTAGCTCTTGCAGACCAGAATTTCTCGAAATAAATTTTGTTGCAAGAGGTAAAATTATTATCTCGAAAGAAAAGAATAGTGAGAAGGTCAATAAAAGTTTTTAAGTTTTCCGATAAAAACCTTGCGCGCTGCCGTGAAGAGTCCACATGCATATGGGGATATCTGAATTACACACATGCAGTCACACATGTTGTGGCCATTCTTTAACTGAGGTCTGGCTGCATTTTGATACACCGCACGTTATGATTAGTTTCAAAACCGGCACCGGCACTTTCCACACATATTAAATATGATTTAAACTTTTACGTTTCATAGCCTACATACATATGCACCTTTTAACGCATTAATTGGGTTCACATTCAGTATACGAGAATGGTACTTATTTTTATCACACATAGCATAAATTTGACAGATAGTGTGGTCAAAACATGACAATTACAATATCATATTTTACACCACACTGTCCACAGTTTTCACGCGCGCGTTTCGGCACAGCTATCTATCAGCCAACCTCGTCCCCAGGGCCTTTTGAGGAAGGAGGCGAAGGCCTTTGCTGCCCTTCGCCTCCTTCCTCAAAAGGCCCGCTGGGGACGAGGTTGTCTATCAGCCAGACAACTGATCTACATCAGTATATCAAAACTTAAAAATTATAGTAGTTATCTACGTTATCTAGTTTTAGTTTTAACCTTTTACTTAAACGAACTTGTCCTTGACCTTGGCTTGTTCATATTCAGTATATCGGCTTCACGATTTGTCGATTTCACGGGAATTCAAGGATCCAAATTTCGGATTTTCAGAGTCTGTGGCTAAGGATGCGCTGAGTACTAACAGCCCCTTGCGTTAAACTGAGGCTGAAAATAGGTATACAATTCGTTGGAAATAGGAAACATGCAGGTATATAATTAACGAAATTGTTTTAAAATAACGAAATTGTTTTTTTTTTCCATTTTGAAACTGAACAGCATATGTCACTGGAGGCTCTGGACCGCAGAGGAGAGATATACCGAAAGGAAACTGATACTCGACATTAAACCTGATTAAACCTCAATTTTTGTGTCACGCATTCCACGCGCCACGCAAAATTTCCCAGCCAGTCGCTAAAATTTCATAGCAAAAGATAGTGAAAATCGCTTTTTTTAAAAAATCGGATACCCATGGAAATTTTGTTCAATAAATTATTGTAGAATAACGGTAAGCGATCACTTTTATTGATTTTATTTTATTAAAAGTGTTAACATAACATTTTATTTCGCAAAAGTTTGTTTTTTTCCCTATCTATACTCCTTATTAAAATCATGCACTGCCGCTGGGAATTTCAGATGCTCATATATAAAAAACAAAGCAGCAAGTGATATATATAAATTGCTCAAAATACAACTCTCGCATAAACAAAAACATGAATACTTCTATAATATGTATAGTTTTTTCCTCTGCATTGTCAAAATTTAATAAAATGGTGAATTAATATAATTTTATATGGTTAATAGACTTAATATATCGGCGTGACATAATTTGCCGCGAGTTTCCTCCCTGTGCATCTCTTCTCTGTGCTCTGGAGCTCTGGAGCACCGTACCTGAGCCTGCGGTGCCAGTGATGGTTTGTCGCGTTTGTGACAACAACAAAAAATACGACAATGACAGCCAGCCCCATTTTCATCACGTTGTAAGTTGTAACCAATAATCTATCGGCGTTGTAATGCCATTGTATGCAATAAAGTATTGGGTTGTAATGGGTCTACAATTACGATAACACTAATGCAAACGTTAATCCTAACCCAACCCTAAAGGTGATGACCTTTTTTTTGAATAATCTCACATAAGGACACGGGCCTGTAACTGGGAGCAGCTGCGAAAAAAGGGACTTGCTCATGCAGTTGCCGAGTACTTATTACAAGGTGATCTAATGTTAGGTATATGGGACATGTAAAGTGTTATGTATATGGTAAAATATTAATATTCCTGGGCATCTCGTTTGATAGATGATCAGTTGAAGGTTTATAAAGCTGTTCAAATATTATTTATTTGACTTCTCCACCTATCTAAATATGACTATAATTGGATACGAATATACCTTCCTCAGCGCATGTCTATATAGTATTCTTGGGTTTCACTAAGGCATTATGTAGTGAATCTGATGGGGGGTCAACATCAAATGTATTGATGCTTATGCTGTACTGGAATAAGAAAATGATACGAAATTCCATGTATTTGCCACCAAACACAAGGCTAATACATAAAACGAACAATCGACTCCCTCTGATAACTGTGCTTTGTTTTAGAGTTGACCCCCGTCACAGAAGTGACGTCATGTGAAACCCAGCCAGCGCCATCATGAATCTCGACTTCTGGGCCGGTTGTATAAAACTCTTCATCACTTTTTTAATCACTATTTTGTAGTTAAATAGCGATTAACTCTCAAATAGGCGCTTCTTATTGGATGACGTTTGCACTTAATCATAGTTAACCGTTTAATAACTTTTTTATACAACCGGCCCCTGGACCGCACAAAGAAATTGGGGGGCCCGGGCCAATTTTAATATTTGGGATGTGCTCTTTTAGAGATTGATTTCTATATTCTAGAACTTTTAGGACAATTAGCAAGATTATTTCCTTCCGTTTTGAATGTTTATATAGCATTATGAATGCGTTTTCTGTACATAAATAGTTCATGGGGTCCGGGGGAATTTTCAAATCTAGAGTCCCTAGAACAGCAATTCCTGCATTCTGGGCCGAGAAGAATTAATTTTTTCTTATTTGAGAGTCCTCTTTAGCTGGGGGCCCGGTGGCAAATTGCCCCTTTTGCCACCCCCCTGGGCGGCCCTGCTTGACTTTACTATATTGCTATAAAGTTGAAAAAGGAGTATGTTTGCAGCTGCATAGCTGGGTAAAGATTTCTAAACCAACTTGAAGAATTTTAATTATTATTTACTCATCTGACCAAATTTTGAAATTATGGTTATTAGCGGACATATTTGAAAGCGTCCGATTTCATCGTACACTATCAGTATGTTGTATCCAAAAACGGTTATAAATAGTGGCACATCATTACGCTTCAAATCACGAGCATGCAACATTGTTGTATAATGCATTCAAATTCATTCTTTTGTGAGTAACAGCTGGAAATTTAATGGTAAATAAATACTTTGTTTTCATATATTTTTAATTAACTTACTTAAATTAATTTTTCGGGGTAGCGTTATAATTGCAGGTGTATTTAAAGACTGTTTTTGCCTCCAACTTCTTTGTTGCAAGAAAGACAGCAAGATAAAACAACTACAACAACTAAAGTAATCTTGGTAAGATTTTGTCGTGCATGTTTTTAACTACTATCATTTGTTTAGTCAAAGCTAGATTTATTTCTGCCTGATAAATAATGGCACAATACAGTAGTTCACGTAACATAATGAGTTATCACCTCTTAATTTCTAACATAGGTTATAGTTACGTCTTTTAGAAACTATGTTTTCAACGGGTTTACCGTATTCTTTGATTTGCTTGTTACCATGGAGGGTGACTGTAAAATTACATGGTTTAAATAACTGTTCATGAGAGTTACTAAAACTGATGGCAGTAACCTAATGAAAAATCGGTCAAAACTAGGACGAAAATGTAATGAGAAAGTAACATTGCCACTGGTTGTGCGTACAAGACGAGATAATAGAGAGGTTCAGATTTGACTTCTACGACCGCTATACCACTACCTCTCACTTGCTTAGTACACATCTGATTGGTTGATCGGATATATCCGTGAAACGCATCCGATTGCCTATATAATGGTTCCTTAATGGTAGCGGTAGCAACTCGTGAGAATTGGAGCGACTCGTGAAAAAATGGCACGAGGATGCTTTCCGTTCGCGAATCGCGCCAATGTTTCAGTAGTCGCACCCATTTGTTCACGAGTCGCGCTATTGTGTCCCATTTCGTCGCGAGTCGCATGCCACGCCAATTACATTATCTCGTAAAAGACACGCGATCTGGTTTATCTCTAGTCATAAAATTACTCTGATCTGAAAAGTAATTTTTCCAGTGCAGCAGAGCTATTTTTGAAATCACTTTAAAAATGGCTTGCGCGACAAAAAATGGTAGTTTGAAACACAATTTGAATTCATATAGACATAAAGTGCAAATTTAGAGGGTATTGTTTGAATGATCAAAGTATACCAGACAATTTGATGTAGCCTACATTGAGCACTGACATTAAATCCAACGCGCGACCTCTAAAACTTCACAATTTTTAAACGTTTTTATGAAGCTGAGTTGTAAGAAATCAATCATGTATAAAATAAATCATGCATAAAATAAATCATGCATAAAATCAGTCATCACCAATCTTCGCGAGACAGGGCTAGAACACAATTACTTCAACTCAATGTATTTTTGCCATTAAAAATAAAGAACAATTTACAAATTTATAATGTTTCCTCGCTTACCTACCTTCGGTAAACTGGCAGAAAACAATGTTCTACAACAGCGTTTCTTTATTATCATGGCTTTACCACTTTATTCATTTATGCTACAGATTACATTGATTTGGTAGAAATGAATATTTTTCTGAAATCGTTTCTTGTCGTCATGGTAAGCTGGGTTATGGTAAAGCATGCAGTTTCTCTTCCGGATGACGGTCCTCCATCAAACTGGGATCAGAAGGAGTTCTGGACGCCTTGCGAGCATGACTATCTCAATCCCTTGGGAGCATGTCGTCAGTTTGGTTTCAGTATAACAGAAAATCCTGAAGGAGGTCACACGAAAGCAAAACAGGTCAATCGCTGGTGGAGTGGTGGAGTAAATAAGTGTAGTGATGCCCCACCTCGCGTACGCTACTTTTGCTCCAAGATTTATACCAAGGCGTATTGGCAAGGTACATGTACTAATAATATATGGCCAACTTAATATTTTACGGCTCAATGTGTGCAGCGTTCTACAATAAGCGGCAGCGGGATTCACATTGCAGAGAGGGTGTGAATTTTAAAGCCCCGTTTACACGACAGTCATTTTGGGCACGGCACGCTTAAATTTTGGCACGCGGACCCATTTTTTTGGGCACGGCACTCTTAATATTTGTCGTGTAAACGCAAAATTAAGGGTCCGCGGGCCCAAAATTTTAAGCGGGCCGAGACCTCCTCCTCAGGAGGTAGTCTCGGCCCGCTTAAAAATGGGTCCGCGGACCAAAAACTTGTTACGCACGCGTTTTGTTTCTCACATTGCAAAAATATTGTGTCTGTATACAAACAAATATCGAGGGAAAATGTGCATGGTCAGACGAAGCTATATACAAGAGCTCCGATATATATTATGGTCATGCATAAAGAAGCTATATATTCAACTGGTATTCTTGCTACACTCAAGTTAAAGCTCACAGCAAAGCGACTGAGAGAAAGAGAACTGTATTTAAGCAGTTTAATAAGTAATGCTGATATATGTGATGGTGAAGATTATTGTTATTTCATAATTAACAATTAACAATCATTTGCCGAGGACGAAGTGCTATCTGTCAACATTCACCACACCATAATCATGCAGTGAGCCTGCAGCCGAATCATTGTTGTAGTATAAATTAATTTTCAACGAAATAAAACAGAATATCTAAATATCAATTTAAGTATTCTGAAATGAAACTGTTGTCGCTGCTTGTCAGCCATGCAGTTTATACGAGGTTACTGAATGTTATAGTGTTGTCAATTAAAAGACGCAGTGTTTCTTGTTCGCACTGTGCACGCTTTCAAAATGGCATCCTATATTTTTATAATATTAATTTATTGCTTTATTACAAAGTTGTTTATCGCCATGAAGGTCAATGTCAAATGAAATATCATGATCCATAGCTTAGAAAATTAAAACACTTTCATATAATAGTTTTTCAAGCACCAACAAGTACAGATTTCGCTAGGTTTATATGAGTTTATAAACTTACAGTTTTTAATAATTGTCTGGAAATACTTCAATACAAATTTTCGAAAACTTAAACTATCTCAATAAAAATATATTTTCTGCTTATTTTACTCCGGAAAGCTGAGAGAATTGGTAAAAATGAAATGTTAATTTAATGCTCGGAATAAAGTTTAATACACTTTTCGCTACACCAAAAAGTTATGGCTGAATAGATCAGATATATTAAGCGTGCCGAACCCAAAAGTTTTAGAACAAAAATTTCGTCGTGTAAACGCAACAGGCGGACCAAAAAGCATGGGTCCGCGTGCCAAAATTTAAGCGTGCCGTACCCAAAATGACTGTCGTGTAAACGGGATACTGATTTGGTATTGGTGTAACAGCCTAACAGGGTATATATACTTTATATACCTAATACCTTCATATATACATGAACTTGTGGTTTATGCTGCACAACTCGACTTTGTAGAGCAGTTGGTTAAGCCTGGTTTCCATTAAATCGTAATTATCGCAAGAACCGCATCGCAAGCGTCGCAACGATTTTAAAAACGCGAAAATTTTAATAAAAACTGCGATTTATTGGAAACTTGAGTCACACCAATAACTAAGACTCTTACGACAAAGTCGCAAAGATAGACTTGCTGCGATTTTTGCGATAGCGACGTCTGCGTTCCGCGACTATTGCGATGATTACGATTTAATGGAAACTAGGCTTTAGAGCGCTGCATCGGAATCGCAGGGCCAGGTTCGATTCCCACAAGAATTAGGTCTGGTTAGGTCTAAAATGTAAATAATTTACACCCTTCAGCGTTTAGTTCTATCGAGTGAGATCCCAAACATCCTACTGTAGATAATACCCCTACATTATCTGTTCTTCATTTCCCTTATCTGTGCTAAATTTCATCTCAGGGACAGCTCCAACATGTGGTTCGAAAGAGTCAAATGAGCAGAAATGTCGAGATAACGGATATACACCACTTCATTACACAAGTGATTACGGAGATGGTGCATACTGTTCTTGGTCTGGCACTAAGGTTCTTTGTGTCAAGAAGTAACAATGGATAACTGTGGAAATAGCTTAGTAATTGTGTACCATTAAAACTATGGTAATGTCGACGAGCTAATTAACGGATATATTGGTAAAAATAAAATATAAAATCAATTATGTTTGTTTTGTTCATGTTTAAATAATAAGATCCAGATAACATTAAAGACGCGGTGCAGTCCGTTTCCATGTGTCATTTTTGTTTACATTTTTGTATCCAAATAATGAGTTATGAATGAAGTTGTGACAACTATATATATTTTCCTGCTTCCACAGTAAAATAGATTAACAAGAACATAGAACCTAGTTTGTTGTTTGTGTCACTGAACTATATAACATATAGTTTGTATATAGTTCACTGGATTGTGTCAGGATTCTCAAATGCACACATGCGCAGAACGGACTGTACCACATCTTTAAAATTAATATTATAGTTACGCATAAGTTACGCATAGGATTCGAAATTCAGCCTGCATATGTAACGGATTTCAACAATTCTCATTTAACTTAATTCTCATTTACGTTGAGTTGAAATACTACCTTTGAATAGAAAATTCAAAGTTTATGAAAAATGCAAGCTGATCACGAATAATCTAATCATGACCAAATTTATTACTCATTGGTTAACCACTGATCAAAATAGGCCGTAAGTCGTAAAATCATGATAAAATTATAGTTTTTGTACAAACTGGCAAAAACAATGCCATTGGAAATGGATTCATTTAAAAACGCAAATATTTTCTCCGAATTTATAAAAAAAAAAACCGTTAAAGCTTATAATTTATGAGAAATCGTACTCAAACACGCACGACAAATGCCCTTTGGCGTCTTTTAAAACTATCTATTTCTGGGATTGGGATTATGCTGAAGTATAATCCCGTAATAGTTCAAAGGTTCAGTTTTACAAAACCCTTCAACCTGCCTTGAACATTTTATTCGCACTTCAGCCGATCAACGAAAGAGAGACTTGGAGCAAGTCTATATTTCAACGATATTATACTTTTTCAAAACAATATTTACGTTACTAAACTGTGAGCGGTCCCTCCTTTCCATGTAGTCTAGGACCTGTATATGAGTTTGTATGCGATTCATTTAGGACAGGTAATCTCAACTGTTTTAGGGTAAAATGACCATGGCGGTCAACATGGCATATGTGCAAAAACCTGAATCCGGGACGAAAGTCCTAAAAATGACCCCCGCCTTACCCCGCCCTGAAACGGCAGTGTCGACATAGCTCTAACTTCCGAAAAGGAAAAGCGACAGCCTTTCTGAAGTACTTATAGTGTTCAGAAGGGTTGCGTTTAGGGGTGGTCATTGGAAGGAAAAGTTTGTCTAAGTATAATATTTTACCAGAAAATGACTATGCACCACCCCAGGTAAATTGCTGATTATGCACAAAATAACTAATATGCCTGGCAGAAATTAAATTTTCTTATTTCCTAAAAACAATTATCATGGGATGAAAAACTATGCTTAGTTCAATATAATTATTGTGGATTTCATAAGGATTGTCATTGTTTTCTTTTAATATAACACATTTTATTTCACTTACCCCCCATGAAAACACAATTTCAGCCATATCGTCCAGTTGTTGTACTTTCACATAATCGTAAAGGGCTAAAGAATATTTCAACCAAGTTTCATCAAGTTGTGAGACAGTGCAGTGTATTTTACCTTCGATATTGTGTCCTTCGATATTTCGTCAAATTGCAGCCATTTTAAGGTTACTTCACACGATGAACGTGCGTTTTAGTCGATTGGACATTGCTCAACGAATTTTAGGTGTAAGTTTACCAAATTTTCAGTGAAGAAAGCCAGGAAAATGCTGATTTCGAAAATTTTCATTTGATGGGTGTTCTGTTTAAACATTTTCAGTATTGGCTGACTGAGTAAATATGTAGGTACCTTCATAAAAAGTCAAAATATGTTTAGTTTACCTCAACGGTTGTCTAGATATCGCAATTCAAATCTTCATAGGCATCATGGTAAAAAAAACGTGTGCGGAAAATTTCTCTTCTTTAGTGGTTTTTCTGATATGCCCTGATTCTTGGATTTGTCACTGATAATTCACGAAGTTGTCGATCAAAGAAAACGTCATATCAGAAAAACCATTGAAGAAGAGAAATTTTCCGCACACAATTTTTTTACCGTACCTATGAAGATTCAAATCGATATATGTAGACAGACGTTGAGGTAAACTATAAATATATTTTGATTTTTTTTTATGGGATACTTATGTATTTCTTTAGTCAGCCAATACTGGACATGTTTAAACAGAACACCCATCAAATGAAGATTTTCGAAATCAGCATTTTATTGGCTTTCTTCACTAAAAATTTGGTAAAGATACACCTAAAATTCGTTGCGCCATGTTCAATAGACTAAAACGCACGTTCATCATGTGAAGTAACCTTAATGGCTCGCCGCTTCTCTGTCCGATAAATGGCACTTCTTCGTTTTCATATGTATTTAGATTACAGTATCCAAGAGTACTTCATTGTAGAATAGTCCCAATCGAAAAATTGACAACATTTGTCCCATTTGGAAGGAAAAACCCTCCCGTATACCATTTAGGTTCAAAATAAAAAACAAATCATTTGAAAGTCACGCGCAATCTTCGCGAAAACTTCTCGTGGACACATCACAGGGGGGTGGATATTTTCACGAAACGTTTGTTCGCCACCACAGAAACATAACCAAATATATTGTATTTATATGATTTATGATAAAAACAATAAATATTTGCGTAGTTTTGTCATAAATCATAAAAACACAATAAATACAATATATTTAGTTGTTTCTGTGGTGGCGAACAAACGTTTCATGAAAATATCCACCCCCCCTGTCATGTGTCCACGAGAAGTTTTCGCGAAGATTGCGCGTGACTTTCAAATAATTTGTTTTTTATTTTGAACCTAAATGGTATACGGGAGGGTTTTTCCTTCCAAATGGGACAAATATTGTCAATTTTTCGATTGGGACTATTCTACAATGAAGTACTCTTGGATACTGTAATCTAAATACATATGAAAACGAAGAAGTACCATTTATCGGACAGAGAAGCGGCGAGCCATTAAAACGGCGGCAATTTGACGAAATATCGAAGGTTAAATACACTGCACTGTCTCACAACTTGATGAAACTTGGTTGAAATATTCTTTAGCCCTTTAAGATTATGTAAAAGTACAACAACTGGATGATATTTGCGAGACTCGGCGATAAAAAGCAAACAAGTCGGCAAAGTATGGCTGAAATCGTGTTTTCGTGGGGGGTAAGTGAAATAAAATGTGTTATATTAAAAGAAAACAATGAAAATCCTTATGAAATCCACAATAATTATATTGAACTAAGCATAGTTTCTCATCCCATGATAATTTTTTTAGGAAATAAGAAAATGTAATTTCTGTCAGGCATATTAGTTATTTTGTGCATAATCAGCAATTTACCTGGGGTGGTGCATAGTCATTTTCTGGTAAAATATTATACTTAGACAAATTTTTCCTTCCAATGACCACCCCTAAAAGCAACCCTTCTGAACACCATAAGCACTTCAGAAAGGCTGTTGCTTAGGGACTGCCGACAACACATCAAGAAACGAAATACGCCCACTTTTCGCTCTTGTCAAGTTATAATTTAATTCATTTAAAAAATTTCAATATAATCTATAAAAAATCTATATACCACTAAAATCTAGTCTAGCACAATAACATCCTTTGGCTTTGCCTTTGAACTTTTCATTTCTTTTCCTATATTGGAAATATTGGTAAGAGGTCCATTCATATCGTGAACCTCAGTGACAAACCTCTTGTTTTGTTTAGCACGATATGTAGGAGGTTCAGTTGATTTATTAATTTCCTTGTCACTATACACGAGTTCTTTATCACCAGAAATAGAACGCAGCTTATCTGCCATATTTGTACGATTCTCGGTTTGAAAGCGCTTCAAAAGACGCGACGTTAAAGAGGTTGTCTCTCGACAGGACGGTGTGTCAGAGGCAGCAACTGAGAACTTCGCTTTGGGTTCGCAGATACTATTTTCGTCGTCCAACCCATCAATTGCAGTCGAAAATTCTTGCCTTTTCACTCCAGTTGGATTCATATCCAGTTCCTGCGGGCTATCAATGAACTTCTTATCCCCAAAAGATGTTAGTAATACATTTTCACTTTGATTCATCATGGTTGTTTCAAACAAAACATCACTATTACCATGATTAGTGTTGGTACTAAATAATTTGAAACTTGGAGATATTTCGGTGCTATAATGACAAGAGCTACCATGCACGGGTGTTATATTCTGTAGACTAGCGACAAACGAATCTGTAAGTAAATCATCAATAGCTTCAAAATCACTTCCAAATGATTGATCTACCGTGATATCTGCAAGGTTGAGGATTGTCTTTTCATTTTCTGCTGGAGAGCTGGAACTGCCGACAGCTCCAAAGTTGAGATTCGGGAGAGTGTATGAACTATTAACGATAATAGGGGAAGCATTTTCACATCTATTTGTCCCAAGAAGTTGATCGGGTTTTATACAAACAAAATCCGCACGGCTTTCTGCCTCTTTTGAGTCCACATTTTCAATTTTGTCATCGGCATAAAACTTTCTACTTTCAGAAGTTCGAGTATAATTGGTCATTGGACCAGCTAGTGAATTATCTTCAAGGTCATAACTCCAGGAATGCTGATGCGGTTCAAAATAAGGTCCCGCTGCTAATGTGACCTTTTGAGATGTCTTCCTGGAAATATCTTTATCATTACAATCGTTGTTAGAATGTTCTGCCATGATCTTCGTGTTCTCGTTGAGGTCTATGTTATTAATTTTGCACAACAGATCATCCAAACATTCCAGTTCATCTGCCGCCGTTTTAGTTTTCTTGCCCTTCTTCGTTTTACCTTGATATTAGAATAAATAAAATTATGTCATGGACTCTGTAGTTCAGTATAGTACTGTATGTGTGCAAGAGTCCATTTTTGCACAAATTATCCGACTCCATCCGTGAGAAAAACATCCCAATTTCCAAACAAATCCTATAGTAATTAGTAATTACATATTATAGCTTCAGTATAGTTTTGCATACAGTAGATATACCTATACACCGATAAAAGCGATGATTTTCATATAGGCTGGGAGGAGTTAACTGAGAGTAAGAATGAGGATTGGGTTTAGGATAAAGTTATAGAATATAAATAGCTAGAGATATGGTGTTCAAAAATAGATTTAAGAAAAGATGTTTTTGACCATACTGTACATACAATATACATGCAGCTGCTACGTGAATTACACCCACCTTTGCTCCTTTTACTTGCCAGTTCAACTTCGAATCGTTCAGCAAGTAGAGGATATTTCCTGCATATCATCTAAATAACGAACAAATATATTCATTCCAAAACACTGATTTATATTTCTCAATTTCTTGGCGATGCAGTGGTCACACTGACTAGCTTTCAGCTGTTAAAACCAGGTTTCTATTTGGTCATAACTATTGTGACAGTCACGAGAATCGATGATGCGAAATAGTTTTGATCTTTCTTGTGTTATTTGTGTACGGTTTGCATGATATATGGACACTGAATTACATCGGCCAGTTTGGTAATAGACCTTATGCATAATGACGTCACAAGGCTTGATGCCCGCGAGGAATGCTGGTCTTAATAGTCATCGCCCGGGAAAATTAAACAATTCAAAAAGGCCACTATCGAAATTTTCCCGGGCGATGATTATTAAGACCAGCATTCCTCGCGGGCATCAAGTCTTGTGACGTCATTATGCATATAACGTCTATTGTCGTGACGGTCACGACTTTACGGAAACAAAGCTTAAAGTAACTCGTGTGGAATCAGTCAGTCAACGCTCTGCCAATTAGCGAAGCCTGACGCTGAGGTTGATAATACAAACTGAGGGCTTGATATATTCTTCGTATCAGGCGAAAACCGAATTAAAGCTATTTGTGTTTACTGTTATGCCATAGATATAGCAGATCTAGATTGCTAACGCATACCTAGCGCAGGCGGGGCCTACATGATAAATCCAAGATGGCGGTACAAGAGGGCAAAAAGACTATAGAATCTATTACGAAAATCAAGATTCTTGCATTTTTTGCCGTCGCATTGTTTTGAAACTTATTCGGTCAAATTTTATGGTAAAGAGAAACTTACCGCAAAGATTTTGAGCATATTTATGATTGAATTGGATGAAAACTCGCAAAATTATCCAGCGATAAAAGTTCGTGTTTAGTACTGATATAGTACTATATATGTAACTTGTACAGTTTTGCTTTAATTTTTGCTCACTATTTGCATAGAAAGCAAATTATAACAGACCATAGATGATAGACCCTTATCCAGTGCTCTCATCAGTTTACTTCTCTAACAAGCAAGGGGGGGGGGGGGATACATAACAGTTCATTTTTCATAATTATGAGGACAGAGCAGATGATGATGACAGATGCAAGTATAAAACACCATTCACAAGGCTATAGATGTTAACATAGCACAGTATTTCTGGCAATAAAACACTCCAACTGACCATTTCACACGAACTTTTATCGCTGGATAATTTTGCGATTTTTCATCCAATTCAATCATATATATGCTCAAAATCTTCGCGGTAAGTTTCTCTTTACCATAAAATTTGACCGAATAAGTTTCGAAACAATGCGACGGCAAAAAATGCAAAAATCCTGATTTCGTAATAGAATCTATAGTCTTTTTGCCCTGTTGTACCGCCATCTTGGATTAATCATGTAGGCCCCGCCTGCGCTAGGTATGCTTTAGCAATCTAGATCTCCTATATCTATGACTATAGATGCGTTATCCAGTCTTATTTCAGATCAGTGGTAACGATGCTAGTGTTCTCATGAGTTGCTCATGGTGGATGTATATCCTAAAGCCTCAAATGCTGTAAAATATGATAGTATGAATATTAGTCTAGAAGGTTCATCTTTTAAAAAATCGTTGCAGGGCGAAATTAGCAAGAAATTTGCGAAGCAATTTAGACGATGCTAGACGTATTTGACATGTTATGGCCTTTCGGCGACTTGAGCCGCATAATAACACCATCTTTAGCGATCTTGTTTGCATTGTGTGTTTCGGAAATTAAATATGTTTATATCGTTAGTTCAATAGTTCTTCAGAAAAGCGCAACAAATGATATTATGTAATTAACATATCAATATCTTACTCCTCTAGAGCGTAAATTTACGCATACCAAAGTTGTTGTGTTCACGGAAGGATAGAATTAACACAACCGGGCGGTGCGTGAAATTAGACAGTTCAACTTTGTGTGAGTTATTTATTGCGGTTTCGCGATATGGAAATAAGTTAACCGCTTGAAGTTACTTTTGAATACATTCTCTAGAATGGTCATCAATCAAAATTTTAAGTTTTTCGTTATAAAGGTAAAAAAATAAGGTTTTAATTAAACGAGCTTTGCGATCTATCGCACCGCTGACCAGCCCCTTTGTCAGAAAAAAACAGTGATCTTTCACAAGCTACCATGGACGAACGGAACGGAATAATATCTTTATTTTCCCTCACGTACTAAGGAATATGACAAGTAAAAATGGTCTTTCAAAAAAATTGGATTTCCATTAGTGGTTAAGCGGCCAAAGCAGTTTATTTACAAACTAGTCGTTCCAGCTCCAGGTTGAAATCGAACCTGGAGCTGCGAACCTGGAGCCGTCTGTCTCGTCATCCACCCACTCAACATCGTTGGTGACCGACGCCCGCGCTCATTGATGAACTGTAGACTTGGCTAATGCTTTCGTTTCCGCTGGTGTAAATAGTCGGGGGGAATTAGTACCCTCGCCCCAGGCTTACGTCCGGAACAGCGCTACGCGCCGTTGGCTCGGGGATTATAGTATATTGGGAAAATATTATGATTAATAGAGACCAATAAAAAGGCTAAAGTCTTAGCCTACTATAATTACCGAATACGAATTATGTACTAAATCTAAAACTTTAAAGATAAATCACTGACAGACATTTCTCTGTTTGGCTGGTATGAAATGTTTACATTTGCTAATATATTGGGCTTCTAGTCCTAGACAATACAATACTGTTTCTTTTAAAAATCTTATAAACAAGACACGTAGTAACAAGTAAATCTGTGCAAAGCATATCAACGTTTACAAGAAAGGACAAATCTAATGGCATATTTTAAAAACATTACAATGAACGTTTGTTATAAAACCGCGCTCGAGAGCATTGAATAACAACACAAGAGAGCACTGCGAGTAACGATTTGCTTGTTTTCTTGACTTGACTGTTAGTAAAAGTGTAAGAATGTTCTTGTAAATTCAAAGCAAAGAAAATAAACAAAAATTAGCAAGTATTTTGAACTTAATAATTCGCAAAATTTATGTTTTTAACTGTTAAACATAATATCCCACTGGAAGCATGTTGCAAGGCCAGAAATGCCGGACATAATTTATTCTATCTCCATAAAAATTTACATATCACTTTGAAATATGGCTTTAACTGTAAACAGTAAATTGTACAACGCGATGAGGTAAATCGCAAAATCTAAGAATATGGTAGATCGTTTGCAACTTGCCGAAATCGCTGGTGCTAAATCGAAATTTGTCGATGTATCTAGTGTAATTTTGGCCTAGATTAAGTTGCTGTTTTTCCTGCTTTTTAGTTTATTCCTAGTGCGGTGTTTTTATATAGAGTTTAAAGATGCGGTACAGTCCGTATGTAAACAAAGGCTTTGTTTACATTTTGGTATCCAAAATATTGAATTTTATTCCACAACTATTTATATTTTCATGATTCTAGAGTATAATAAATTATCAAGACACAACAATCAAGCTTTGCAAGAACATAAAGTGAAATAAAAACCTAAATATAAACTGTTTGTAAATAAAAAGAGGGCTCCTTTGTGTACATGCGTAGATCGCACTGTACCGCATCTTTAATAGACAAATGTAGTTAAAATTAACCTCTGTACAAATATAGAAAATGCAGGACTGGTAGTAACTTAAATCAGGCTAATTTTACACTAAATTTTTCGACAGACTTTGTTTTGCATCCAGGGATTGCGGCAAATTGCAAAGGATCTACCATATTCTCCAATTTTACATTTACAACATTGCGTTGTACAATCTACTATATAATGTTGGAGCCATATTTGAAAGTGATATGCAAATTAGTAAGGGAGTAGAATAAATTATGTCCGTGATTTCTGGCCATGATGGCGCTAAATTTTGGACGAAGCACGTGATCAGCCGCAGCCAGGGTCTCTCCCAAAGGACAGACCCTGGGAATGAGGTTGCCCCGACAGTTAGGGGCCCATCAGCACAGCCTATCGCCCTGAAAATTAGAAAACGTAAAAAATACAGGTTAATAATCAACAGGAAAATGCAAAATTAATAATGCTAAATAATAAAGCCTCCATCGACAACGGTAGCTGATTTTTTTATCCCATCTCAAATAAAACAAAAGTTATTCTTATTAGTTGTTACATGTGTTGGAAACTGTTATTGTTTTCGTTATGGACACGGAATTTTTCAGAACATTCTATAAATATTCAATATAAATATAATATCTCAGTCAAATAAAGACAACAGTCAACAGGGGCCCCCACACCAAAATGCGCAAGGGCCCCCTCTTCCTTCGTTATGCCACTGTCCTCAGGTGGAAATTCCAGCATCGGTTACCCTTGCATCAGACTGCAAAATGCAAGTGTCTGATTCCGAAGTGAAGCAGAAAATGGCAAGATATACTGATGTAAGAAAAAAGCGAAGCCCTCCATGGTCAGTGTGGGTGCTAAAGTGCTGCTGCAGCAAAAACAGCAACACAAACTTTCCACTCGTTGAATGTCGTCCGTACACTGTTATCGCAAGACGAGGTAGAAGTGTTATTTTACAGCAGGGTGATGAAACTCCAATAATGCGCAATGTCTCTCTGGTCCAAAACATTCCGAATGAGGCAAATAGTGAACAGGAATACGTCCACTTCAGCGAAGGAAGTACACAGGAAGCACTGTTCATCACAGAAAACTATGGTTCTGAAGATGGTATATCAGAAATTGGTGATGGTCCAATGATGTTGAAGTTGTTGAAGCCCCAATTAGGCCGGCTGGGCAATTTAGACCGCTTTTATATTTGAGAGACTTTGTCAGGAGCCATAATAAACAGCCTCATTGGCTACTTAGCTCGCTAAAAAAAACAAAAAAAACTATGATACAACAATTTTGTTAAACAATGAAAATATTGAACAAGCTAAAACAACTACATTTCTGGGTGTGGTCATTGACGAACACTTAACATGGAGTCATCATTTAGATATGATTCACAAGAAAATCATGAAGTCTACAGCAATAATATCTAAAAGTAGACATTATATAAATATGAATGCTCGAAAGCTACTATACTATGCCTTAGTCTATCCATATCTGATTTATTGCAACTTAATATGGGGTAACATTTAAATTTTATTTCGAACACACTGAACCAATTTTTAGAGATCTAGAAATATTAAGCATTGAACAAATAAATTGCTATCTCACCAGTATATTTATGTTTCGATATAATCATTTAGAAAATTTACCCGAAATATTTAACAATTATTTCACGGCTAATTATGAAATTCACGACCACAACACAAGAAGTGCATCTCAACTTCACAAAACTTTCAAAAGAACTAACTATGCAAAACATACTCTTGCTCACAAAGGAATAAATGTTTGGAATGTTCTCTTAAATAAATACAAACGTATTCAATCTTACACTTCTTTCAAAACATGTATTAAAAAACACTTGTTATCAAATGAAAAAGAAATGCAAATTGCATTGATATAAACTGTCCTATTTGTACATATAATTATCTTTATTTACTGATTATGAACTGATTATCTTTAGTCTATAACAAATGATGTTTCTGTAAATATAACATAGTCTAGGGGTCTTAAAAAAAAGCCTTATACGTTTCTAGTAGGCCCCTAGCCCTACTGTAATAATGAATTAGTAAACTTTTGTAAATATTATTAAAACATTTTTGGGGGGTGAAATTAAATTAAATTAAATAAAAGTAAAAAATAAAGTATTGTAGGTTTTCAAACTACAGGTTTTCGTGAACTATGAGTAATGATTGTAATGATTCATTTTATTTGCCCATATAAAGCTAAATATCTTTACAATGTATATTTGTACAAAAATTAAGGGCTATAGGAACCTTTATAAAACCCTATCAGGCTTTTATTCAAAGGCCTCTAGTTTAACAATATTATTTAAGAATGATTAAAGCTTGTTCAATCTTGTCAAAGACAAAGTAAGGGTATTTACAAATATAGTGATTTGAATATAAATGTACACAATTTACAAGAGTTTATTATGTGAGATTACAAATGAAAGCAATTAGGTATATTCCAAGAAAAGGATTTTCAACTTTTTCTTAAAAGTAGAATAATGAGTAATGTTGAGATTTTCGAAAAAAAAATCGGATTAGTGTCAAATAAAGATTAGATTAGGGTTAGACTAAGATTAGGGTTAGGGGTTAGGGATTAGGGGGCAGGGCTCAACATGTGTCGTGTAAATTCTGACGTGTTTAACAATTTACTCATATAGTAAATTCAAAGGTAGAGCTCATGCTGGAAAATTGAACTTAAAGTTTATGTAAATCAAGATGATTTTGTGTCGGATATACAAACTCCTTCACGGACACGATTCTTTTTTGTTTTCTTCATAAATTATTAATACGTTTCACAGCAAAGCATACTTGACTGTATTTGTGTCTCATGTTTCAAATGACATATAAGGAAGCATGATATAAGGAAGTATGATATAACAATTTCTTAAGATTCTCCCATAGTGTATGTTCGAAAAGTTTATCTCAATCTTCGTACCTCTTCATTTTTTTCAGCTCTGGTTCAATGTATTCATTTCTTATTTCTTTTGCAGGAGTCTAAGATACAACAAGCTTACTATTCTTAAGGACGGAACCTTAAATGGACTTCAAAATCTTAAATTCTTGTAAGAATTAGGGAAAGTACATTTATTACACTGAGGGAGGGGGATGAAGATGTCTTGAAAAAAGTTCATATTTTTACAGGACCCCTGTTGAGGTTATCGGTAAATTTCGATGCCCCCCCCTCCAAGTTTTTAAAATTTTCAATGCCCCCCCCCCCTCTAGAATTCGGAATCTCAAATTTTACCTGAAAATGTATGAATTTTAACTTTAATTTGCTGGGGTCAAACCTTTGAAAAGTTTAGAGCCCCCCCTTCAGTATATCAAGAACTTTCAGAGCCCCCCCTTTAATGCCAGAAAATATTTCGGAGCCCCCCCTTAACATCTTCATCCCCCCCCTCGGCATAATAAATGTACTTTCCCTTAGTAATATAGATTATTATAGTTTATTCTTATACCGTCCACTAAACTGTAACACTCAACTGAGAAGCAATAAATAACATTGAATCTTTATTTATATTTGTCTACTAGGTATTTAGACGAAAATGAACTTTCCAATATGGAAGAAAATGTCTTCAACAAAACTACATCGCTTGAAATTCTGTATGTATTTTACATGCATGAAATGAAGCTTGTGGATTTTCCGCTTATTTGTTTATTGTTTTTAGACATCTTCAGCATAATAAACTACAAATTATTTCAAAGAAATGGTTGGAAAAGCTACCTTCACTCAAAACATTGTTGGTGAACGTTTTTAATATATATTTTACCATGATTTAGTCATTAAGCGAAATGTCTAAACTGTTAAAATCACAATTATATCTTTTCAGGAAATTGAATGACAATAAAATCGGAGTTATCGAATCTGGATCATTCCACAACCTTCACTCATTAACGGACCTGTAAGATGGTTTGAATGTTGATTCAAAATAAACTTCTTTACTTTCAAATATATTATTATTATTAAATTTTTTTGCCCACAAAATATATACAAGTAGTAAAAAAATAATTACAGTAGTATAATGGGCTAGGGACTTTGGAAATCCTGTTGGACTTTTATAGTAAGGCCCCTAGTTTTAGTATTCTAGTGTTAAAAGACTATGAAAGAAGAAATTATATACAAGCAGAAACTATTTACAACAAATTGAAAGATGAAAAAATACTAAGAAATAAAATAGTACATTACTATCATTAGTGTTCCTAAGGCTATTGCTAAGGTTTTTATAATTTATTTACATTAATTAGATAATAAGTAAAGGGATTTTGCTTTTCTCTTAAAAGAAAAATAAGTTTTAGTATTTTTAATTTCGTCATCAAGAAAATTCCATAAAGAAATTCCTTTGTTAAATACAGTATATATACGGTAGTTTGTTCTTTTATAACTCACATGTAACTTGGTACAATTTCGCGTATTATAGTTGTGTACATCGTTATTTTGTTTGAAGTAATCATTATAAAAGTCCGGCAAATTTTGACAATAGTAGCGACGATGCAAATTTCGAAACCGTAGACGGTCGGACACCTCCGAGATGGTCGGACACCTCAATTTTCTGCGCCCGCAAGTAGTGGTAGGCAGCGGAAACTCTTTTGAAAACACTTTGCTTCACATTACTCCTAAAATTCCCCGATTGTACCTATAACTCTGTTTACACGTGCGAATTGCAAAATGGAGGATCTTCTCGATGCTACTATTTCTGATCTTAAAGCTGCTTTTTTTGGTCAGGAAAATAGCAAAGAATTGCTATCTCGAGTTGAGGATATAATCCCAATCGAAAGTCAGAAGTATAATATAGTAAGCGTTAAAGGAAATGACGTTCGTTTCAAAGCAACCATCAAAACAAATTATCTGAAAGACGAAGATGATATCACAAATTTTGTGAAAAATTATCGAGTTAAAAACGCCGAGACACTTCGGATTTCAAAAACAAAGAAATTTCAAAATACAACGGGCGAATATAATTTGGCCAAGTACTATAGATGTCAACACAATACGAGGCATGAGGGCACAATGTGCCCTGAAGATATTTTGGCAACGAAACCAAACAAGCGATTCAAGAACACGAACTGTCCATTTTCTCTTGTTGTTAAGATTGGAAAAAATACACATTCAGAAGATTTTAATTCTACAATCGACATTGAGTGGAATCATAATCATCCCATTCAATCATTACATTCGTTAAGTTTCAAAGACATACCAACTGCTGTAACAAATAACATTTCGGAAATGTTCAACAGTGGTCTATTACCAGGGGCAGCATATCGAGAATTTTTGCGCCAGTTAAAGAGTGAGTGCAAGGATGACCTTGAGTTTCACAAACGATTTTCAGATCGGTCACAAGCTCCTCCAAGAAAGGATTTTAATGACATTTACACCAATTTTAAAAAAGAAAGATTTGGAACTACTAGCTTGTCTGATATGTTATGTGCCCTTGAACAGAGAATAAAGTGTCTTCAAGAAAAAGATGAGGATTATACCATAGAATTTCAAGAGTTTGATGAAGAAACCAATCAGCCATTCATTATGGTGGTGATAACACCACTAATGAAGAGAGTTCACAAGCTGGTATGTTCTCTTTTTTTCCAGTCAATTCCAGCAGTACCCATCATGTGATAATAATGCATGAGTCAATTCCAGGAGTAACCATCCCCCACCCCCACCCCCACCCCACCCCACCCCCACCCCAGGGAACACTTGTGGGATTTTGATCTGATTGGTTACGATAGTGCAAATGTACGGGTGCAGAGAAACAACTAGGAGACTAATGTACAGCCCTTGGGCAAGCTGAGAGTGGAAAATGCCCCACCCCGGGGACAATTTTAAACTTTAATTAAACTTTTAATGGCATGTAGGCATAGTTGATTTAATAACATTATACTATTAAACTGCTATGGAATATTATAGAACTTTAATATAAATATGTATCTTACTGGTTAAAAGTATTATAACAATACCCGGCCCCGGTTCACGTATATGACAGGCAAATTCCTGATTCCCGTTAACTGTCTATCAGGCAAATGCCCGGGGTGTTCCAGGGGGAGAGGGGTGGTTACTCCGGGAATTGACTCAAGCATAATGTCAACCTTTTAAAATATTGTCTTTACATAAGCCGGGTTTTGTATGTCACTGATGGTCTGTGATGCACTCATAGATCATTGTTTATAGTGATCATTTTCCATTGAAGGAAAGAATTTCATTTTACTCCTCAATGGTCAAAGACAATGACACTGAAAGACATCCCAAAGAAACACCATGTGGAAACACACGTAAATTTATTACTATAAAATGCAACCTCGTGCCCAGGGGTCTTCTTTGTTTGCCATGATGGAAAACGTTGAAGTCCCAATCCCTGGACTAAAATAGTTCGGCAATAGCCCCACCCCTAGGATAAGGAAAAGCTGCAAAGGCCCAGGGGTGGGGATGGGCACTGCTACAATTGACTGATACATTATGATTGAAATTCATGAGAATCTCCATCTATTGGGTTGTTCCAGAAAAGATCGATACTCGGCCCATGGTGGAATACTCGGCCCATCCTTGGCTTAACTCACTAATTCAGTCGATACTCGGCGCATCCTTGGCTTAACTCACTAATTCAGTAAATAATACGTCGATACTCGGCCCATCCTTGGCTTAACTCACTAATTCAGTAAATAATATGTTTTTATGCAAGCTGGTATTTACATGAAATTGTATAAATGTAGTGATTAATAATATTGTTTATTTGGGGCAATTAATACAGCGTATATCGTGTTTTTATGTGTTTATTTATGGTCGTTTACGTAAACTATAACCTATATATTTAAACCTATAACTCAAAAAGTAGCTTCTGCCTTCTGCCTATAAAGCAAATATATTTTGCCATATTTTCGAGCAAACTACTGTCGGCAAAACGACTGATTTTTCAGTTTCCCCTGCACTTTCAAGACAAAGTTTCAAAACGTTTTACTGTTATATTTTACATTAAATTTCAAGCCCATATTGAAAGCCACATAACATAAAACTATCCATACATTCCAAAATATGAAAATCAATAATTCTTTAGTTAAAAATTATCTCGTATTTTCACGTTACCATAGCGACTACTATTATTTTAAACATGGAATGGAATACTTCATGTGGACATTCTATATTTCATCTGTTAAAAAAAGGCGAGGGGTTGCTGCATGCTTTTATTTCTAGTACTACAAATATGAAATATTTGTAAGGCTGCAGCTGCTCAGACAATGTTCTTAAAATGCTCCAAACACTCATATCTTTACTATTTAATAAAAAAATTATATACTTACAGCAACACTTCTATAAAAAGCATGATATCCAGTAAATTTCGTGGACGTTTTGTCACTTTCGTTGTCAAATATTTGGTTAATAGTTTCCACAACTGTTGATTCCGCCATTTTGACTTCAAAACACGTGTAAACAGAGTTATAGGTACAATCGGGGAATTTTAGGAGTAATGTGAAGCAAAGTGTTTTCAAAAGAGTTTCCGCTGCCTACCACTACTTGTGGGCGCAGAAAATTGAGGTGTCCGACCATCTCGGAGGTGCCCGACCGTCTACGGTTTCGAAATTTGCAGCGACGATACATGAATAAACTACATAAATAATCATTGATCTGGTATACTAGTGATGCGTGCGTTTTGATTGTAATAAATCGTCCTGCTTCTGAATTAGTATTCATAACTTTCATAAACGTCCCTCTAACATGATTCTCTGATCTTTACTGCAATTTACAAATGTGCACATGTGACCTAAATACCGTGTCGTGATTTGTTTGTAGCCTTATTAAATATTCATGAATTTTACAAATATAAATAATCCAATTATATTTTTTAGGGATTTATCGGGCAATGCAATTGACGATTTTCCGGAAGATTTATTCGCTTCGCTAAGCTCATTAAAATCATTGTAAGTTTATAAAATCATGAAAAATTTGGGGAAACCTAAACTAAGCAAAATTTATTTATACTGGATAGCTCTATCAGTTCTAAATTGTTCTTTCTTGAGGTCCAGTAAGAGGCTTCTCTTATTGACCCATTGCTACTATATAGGGAGAAACATAACATAAAGTAAACTTTATTTAAAATGGATAGTTCTAATAGTCCTTTTATATAAGTCATATTATTTATAATGGATAGTTCTAATAGTCCTATTGCAGAAGTCATATTATACCGTCTTAATATAAGTTCATGTTTTCTCTTCAGAAAAGTTGACCACTTTACACTGTGTTGTTACGCAGAGAAAGCGATACCTAGTGTATCATGCACATCTCTACAAGATAACGGCATTTCGAGTTGCGATGAACTGCTAAAAAACACCGTTCTGAAATATAGTATATGGGTCCTTGGCATTCTTGCATTCGCTGGCAATTTCGGCGTTATATTATGGCGAGTCATTGCAAAAGACAAGAACCAAGTCAACTCATTTCTCCTGACACATTTGGCCGTTGCAGATTTTCTAATGGGTGTTTACATGTTGTTAATCGCTTATAAAGACAAACTTTGGGATGGAGTTTACTTTAAACACGACATGTCCTGGCGAGCCTCTGCTCTATGTATATTTGCTGGAGTGATATCAACAATTTCGAGCGAAGTGTCAGTATTTACACTGACTCTTATAACAGTCGATCGAGTTGTATGTATTGTATTCCCTTTCAAATTTCGTAGAATGTCCATGAAACGTGCTCTGCATCTTACAACTCTCATATGGATTCTAGGAATCGCATTGGCTATCATCCCTATAATGAATGACGCGTATTTCTACGATTATCGGCAAAGGACTCATTTCTACGGACGGTCACCAGTTTGTTTACCGTTCGAGCTATCCAGTGAAAAATCGCCGGGCTGGGAGTACTCTGCGTTTGTTTTTCTGGGTCTTAATGGTACTTCGTTTATATTTATCGTAGTAGCTTACCTGGCCATGTACCGAACAATTACCAAGGCTGGCAATGCAGTCCGGTCCACCAGGGCTAACCAGAACTCCACCATAGCCAAACGAATGTTATTCATAATCTTAACAGATTTCTTTTGTTGGTTTCCAGTGATAATTATAAGTATACTAGCTTTGGCCAACAGTCTGCACGATCCGCAAAAACAGGTCTATGCTTGGATTGCGGTGTTTGTATTGCCAATAAATAGTAGTATTAATCCTTTGTTGTACACGTTTTCAACGCCCCTAGTACGAGGATCAGCAGCTACGAAGAGAGCACCGAAGAAGAGTCAAAAGAAACTCAACGAAGGTATGAGGGTTTGGAGTAGGGTGGGAATCCTTTACCTAACCTTCTACGCTGGGAAACCAATCCAGCATTCAGCTAATTGATCCTTTGGAACAAAGCTACAAGTAGTGGAGTAGTCTAACTTATGTATCTTTATCCTTAGTGAGGACGGCAAACGTAAAACCAAACACGGCTGTTAAAATGTTAAACGACGCCTACGTCAATGATGACGCCATTATTACTTTGAGTCCCATTCAAGAGAAACCGTCTGATGCAGAGGCTAGGAGGGAAAACAACCAACACAGAGGTATTATTTAACTCACTAAACTTTCAACGTTTCGAGCCAAGGCCCTTCCTAGTGTATTATAAAAGCGTATTCCAAACGAAAGGCCTTGTCTAGACAGCAGCTTATTGAAGTCAAGTTACCTACAATAGACACCACGCTTGACATATCTTTCTTTCAGATAGTTCAGATACAAACAATGGTAGAACTATACAACCGACACTGGTTTAATATTGCACTCCAGTGTATTTTTTAATTTAGGGTGAATTAGTTAATACATTATTTTGTGTTCAATATATAGACTACAGTAAGACTTTTTTATAAATGCGTTTATTACATTAACAAACGACGTTTCAGAGATTTACTCCATCTTCAGGTAATTAGGATTACAATTTGAATTTAAACTAACATTGGCATGCATAAACGTTAAATTGCGACTGTTATTCGCGCGTGAGAAATTGCGTAAGCGTATAAATGACGTGTCCGATTAATTCTAATAAAAATTAGAAATTGTTAATTCTGGCTTTAATGTTTAAACTACGAAATCCAAGACATTTAACTGTTCATATTTTCCATTCAAGTCTGGATCGAGCTTTTGGATGAATAATGCTTCGGTAATTTTCCGTTCTACAGATTCTTTCGTTCTTTTTAAAATCTTAACAGACAGGTTTAGGCTTTTGTCCGTAATGTTGGCCGAGATAGTGTTTCGAGAAAGCCATGTTTTTATAAGACTTTGCTTTCGGATTTGCTGCGGAACGGAAATGTTCTTGGTATCGAACCACCAATGGTCTGCCTGTCTCACCTACGTATGTTGTTCCGCAAAGGTCACAATTGATTTGATACACAACATCTTTCTGCGTACACCGAATGGGAACATTTGCGTTGCTGCAGATTGGGCATTTAGAGGTGTCTGTGCATACTTTATTGTAAGGTCGCGATTCTACGAGGAGGAGTTTAAGCGAGCTTTGTGGTCTTTCAAAGAAATTTTTTTTTTCCCATGTCTTAGTTTTCGTAGTTTAAACATTAAAGACAGAATTAACAATTTCTAATTTTTATAGAATTAATCTGACACGTCATTTATACGCTTAATACACAATCTCAAATAAAGAAATACTGCCTTGTGGTTACAACATAGTAAGAAGAGATCGTATGACTGAAAAACGCGGCGGTGGTGTTTTGATGGCATTACGCGAGGGTTTACAATATGACACAATTACCCCGAAAGATCAACCTAACCTCGAAATCGTTGCTGTTGAACTCAAAACTAAGAACACAAAATGCTTGTTAAGTGTTTGTTATCGTCCACCAAACGTTAATATCAAAGAATGGTTAAAATCTTTTACCTCCTTTCTGACATGTTGTGAACAATATGACAAAGTTCTTATAACTGGTGACTTTAATTTCCCTGACTTGACATGGAACTCAGACGACATTCAAGATATAACTCCTTCTCCTTTTGCGATCGAATTTCGTGAACTGATCTACGATTTCTTCCTTGAACAAGTTAACGTTTTCCAGATGATATTGAACAATATCCTTGATCTAATTTTAACGAACAGCCCGGAATATGTTATTGACTTGTCCTGCATATCACCAACATCTGTCGATATGTTTAGTGACCATAACTTGCTACTTCTAACTTTCATGTTCATCCCAAATGATCTCCTCGAACATCTCGATCAGTGCTTGATTACCATCAAGCAGACTGGGAGAACCTCCGCAAAGACCTTAACATTGGTCTCTCGTCTATGAATATTTCACCAGAGAATGCCGACTGTGATCCAAGTGCTGTTGTAGATATCAATATGGTCTGGCGACGCTGGAGAGACAAGCTGATGGATACAGCCGTGCAACATATTCCAACCAAAGTGGCGAAAAGACGTAACACTCCTCCTTGGCTCGACAGCGAAACCTGTCACCTTTTTAAAAAGAAAGAAACGGCGCAAAGAAAAGGAAAAAGAACATCTAAGCCTAACCATTTAGAACACTTCCGAAACCTTCGTCGCTCGTTTAAAACGCTCGTAGCACGGAAGCGAAAGAAGTTTTTCCAGTCATTGCCAGATCTGATGATCTCCAACACGAAAAAGTTTTGGTCGGTGCTTAAGTCCGTTTCACGCACTTCTAATGTTCCAAGTAAAATGGTGTGGTCTCAGGGAAAACACAGCGTCACAGCTGAAGAACCTGATGATATTGCCAACCTCTTGAACGAATATTTCCACTCCACGTTCAAACCTTCATTATCCGAAGAAGAATATGAAGATCATCCATCAACCACCACCATACCTCTCAGTGAAACGTTGAGTGACATACACATCACCCCTGACGAAGTAAAGAATATCCTTCTTTCTCTGGACGACAATACAGCAACTGGTCCAGACAACATTCCCGCAAAACTGTTAAGATGTTCTGCTCCCCAAATATGTTCATCTCTTTGCGATCTCTTCAATCTTAGTCTGAAATGTGGGAAAATCCCTGCAGCGTGGAAAATTTCTAACGTGGTACCAATTCCAAAGAAAAGACTATTAAAAGTAGTTTCTAATTACCGTCCAATTTCCCTACTGTCTCCAAAGTTTTCGAGCGTTGTGTGTACAATAGACTGATAGCTCACGTTTCCATCAACCTTCATCATCTCCAATTCGGCTTTCTCAGAAGCAAATCAACAACGGCCCAACTTTTACAAGTACTACAAGAGATCGGTGAAAAGCTTGACAAGAGAGTCCAAACCGACACCATCTACCTTGACTTTGCGAAGGCTTTTGATAGAGTTGATCATCTTCTACTTGTAAGAAAGTTAAAGAAATTCGGGATTGGTGGGACTTTGTTGAAATGGTTTGAAGACTACTTAACCAATCGTCACCAAAGAGTAACTGTTCTTGGCAAAACTTCACATTCTCTCCCAGTACTTTCTGGTGTGCCGCAAGGTTCAATACTTGGTCCTTTACTGTTTGTTATTTACGTGAACGATCTTCCGCAGGAAACATCTACATCGTCTATTGCTTTGTATGCTGATGATACTAAATGCTATGGTCCAGTTAGATCACATAAGGATAAACAATATCTTCAAAAAGACCTTGATGGTATTAACAATTGGTGTGAATTGTGGCGGATGGATCTGAATCAATCGAAATGTGAAGTTCTTTCAGTGACCAGAAATCTGAAGCTAGTGCCGTCGAGCTACCACCTTAAGTTCGACACTCCCATCAAGAGAACAAATGCCCAGAAAGATCTTGGAGTGATCATCACATCCGATTTGAAATGGAACCAGCACGTGTCCATGGTATGTGCCAAAGCGAACAAAATGCTCGGCTTCATTAAAAGATCATCAATGGACATTCGCAACGAGAAAACCAGCCTTGCGCTTTACAAGACAATGGTGCGAAGCCAGATGGCATATTGCACACAAATTTGGTCACCACAGTCGGTATCACTTATCCTTCAAGTAGAAAACGTCCAACGTCGCGCCACCAGATACATTTTATCACTGCCATTCTTGTCAAGAGTATCATACAAAAGATAGACTTGTCAAAAGTGGTTTACTACCATTAACATGCATACTGGCATGAATTCCTGGATATGGTCTACCTTTACAAAGCGTTAGTTCTACCTAATGACCATAATATCATACTTACGGCAGTCAAATCTCTCAATCAGTCAATATAAATGCGGCTTATTTAAATATTACCAAAAGCTTGTTGAAGAGGTCTACGACATTGATGTTCCACAAACGTTTAAAACAGTGTGTGTAAATTGTCATTTGTGTCATCCCTTGTCCAGTCTTTCTGTCAAACTGTGTTGTCATTAGTTGCTGTTAACCCAGTGGAAATATCACTTTTTAGTGAAGCATGTGAAATTTAAATTAAATTCCTTTTTTCGATCCACATGAATAGAATTGCTCAGGACCACATTAAATCAAACGTCTCAGAGATTAGCGATTTTGAAGCGATATATCCACTGTAATAAATTTTGCACGCGTGAATAACGGTCTCAATTTAACGTTTATGCATGCGCATGTTAGTTTAAATTCAAATTGTAATCCTAACTACCCCGAAACGTCGTTTGCTAATGTAATAAACACATTTATAAAAAAGTCTTATTGTGGTCTATATATTGAACACAAAATATACTATTAACATGAGGTTTAGGGAAAGTTCATTCCTAAACATTTTGAAGTTAATTCATTATTATTTTATAATATAGACACGTTTGGAAACTTCCAAGAAACTGATGGAAACAGTGAGTATCCTCAGGTGATTGAGGCTCGAGTTCAAAATGACGAATCTGATGGCGAAATCCAAACCACTCATATGTGAATGAATTCTGCGAACATACAAGAAAAAGCATTCAGACACAATAGCCCTATTCACATTAGAGACGGACAAGTCGTCTAGACGAACAAATCGTCTCTCAAAAATCGTCTTCACAGACGGACAAGTAGTCGAACAAATTCAGACGACTTGTTCGTCTAAAATTTTGTCCGATACGTTTTCACATCTGATGATTTGTCCGACTAAAAGACGATTTTGAGACGATTTGTTCGTCTAGACGACTTGTCCGTCTTCTAATGTGAAAGTGGCTAATATATGAAAGTGTAGCAGAGAGGAGGAATGATATTGTAAACTGTGTGGAAAAAAATAGTCACGAGAAAGTGAATAAAAATGTTGTATTTGCAGAACTGCCAAGTCTCGTGGTTTACTCGACTTTCAACATTTCAGTAAATGTGATACCAATAAAATGTTTAATTTGTTGTAAGATTATGCCTTAATTTCAGGATTTATATCAGTCATTGAATTGGCACCTAGATATATCTTTAAAAATAGTGCGGTTATGCTCCTGTAGTATTCGAAAAATGTAGTCACCCGATACAGCATCTTGTGTGGAATTAAGCCGGTTTTCCACTTCGCCCGTATCGTACCAACACGTACTGGTGAGCGTGCGCAGACTGAAAAGAGGTTTATAAATCCACATAGTTCCGGGTGTATTCGCGTATCAAAATAAAAAGTTCATCGCAAGTCAACTTTTTGCCGTACTACGGAAGTACCAACATTCACGAAATTTTGAAATATAAAAACTTTTTGATACGTTTCGGTACGGTACGCTTGAAGTAGAACACCAGCTTTAAATAGTAACATAATTATATCAATGTACATAAAAGTGCCATCGTAAGTGGTTTGTAGATTTCTGTTGTATCTAATGTGAAATTTCAAAAAATCATTAATAACTCATGAACATTACAATCTATCATATTGTTGATATCAATTATACAGCTATTTCAATCAAAGTTGTCCACGAGCAAAGCGGAAAAGTCGAATGCGAGCGCGAAAGGCTGCTGGAAATCCCTAAAAAGCTAATGAATTTTCATAGCAATTCCCAGCAGCCTTTCACGAATCGCGCTCGTATTCGACTTTTCCGCTTTGCTTGTGGACAACCTTGATTGAAATAGCTGTATGCATACATCTTTAAAACCAGTAACACATCCTCAATATTAAAAGCCTGGGGCGGTATTAGATATCAGTCCCAGGGGAGAGAGGGGCTGATGTGTTTTCACTTCATTATTATTTTTATTCTAGAAATACATGCATGCAGCAACCCCTCGCCTGTATTTTCCAAACATTGATTTAACATGAAGTATTAGTAATTGATCAACATTGAACATAGACCATTGAACTATAAATAAACTGGAAGACTAACTCCTATGATGAAAGTCTATGATTCGTTGAAGCCGGCGCGCGGGAAAATCAGCTTTCAAAAGGACTAAGGAGAGTTTCGAGGAGTGAAAAAATTCGGTCAAAAGTTTGTTTTCGAGCAAAAATTTCCAAGAAAAACACTTTTTCCATGGGAATACTACGATCATTGGGATTCAAACCAGGTTTTCCGATTAGTTCCAACTGTTTTACATCTCTCTGCAGCAAAAAGTGAGGAGTTTTGCTTTTGTACTTTGAAAAAATGACAAAAGTTTGGACGTGGAGAAGGAAACCTCGCTCTTCAACTCAAAAAAATACACTATAAAACATTTTGACAGTCCCAAAACGTATGTTGTACTAAACCCCAGGTATTGTTATTGATCGTGACCTTTTAGTCCTTGTTTTATTCATTCCCATGAATAAATTGGCGTTTTTCAAGTGATGTTATGTCTATGAGCACTTTGAATATGGCAATATTTTTGTCAATTTTTAAATGCTTTTTCCCGACCTTAAAACGTTCAATCTTCTTGAAACTTTGCATACTGATGTATTTTGCATGGGTTTAAATAATTCCTGAGGTATGACGTCTTAGTTTTATCTTAAACTTTCAAAAACTCAGAAAAAGCAGCCTAAAACGCGCCGTTTTTCTGACCGTTCATGTTTATGATCGTGTTTTTCGTATTTTTTGCTAATTCGTGATTTGTTTGCTTTGCCATATTTTGGGGCAAAATTTTTCTGATCAAAAAATGTGCATATTTTGAAAAAAAGATTTTTAAAAAGGACTGGGTCTACCTACAAAAAAGCTTCAAGCACTGCTTCAACTCCCCCCCCCTGGCTATTTACACTCGGGGAAAGGGAAGCATTAGCCAAGTCTAAAGTTCATCAATGATCGCAGGTATGGGTCACCAACCGTGGGTGGTCATCCTCACTGATCTCAAAAATGTCGCTGTTTGCCAGGAGTGGGATAAGCAAGATTTCAATTTTCAAAAGCATATATTTGGAAAATCACATTTCACACAATGAACTTTGAAATAATTTTTGTTTGAAGAAGAATTGATTTACTGTGGAAAATAGTGGAATATGGGGCAAGTTTGCTTTGAATGTTTAATGTTTATGAATTTTGTTGCTTTAATTTAATTGTGTAAAACATACACTGCTTTCCTTTTCAATGAAGCTGTATTAAAGTTTGCTAAATTACCCTGTTTAATTAAAAGTGGCACTGTCATCAAAATGTTTATTTTCTTAAACGAAAATGCTCTTAAAACTGTATAGTAACTTGTTTTGAAGATTTTTGTTCCCATGCTTAGTTCTTGAGATATTTTATTTTGTTTGTAACCATGTGACGTCCTTTACTCAATTACATATATAATGAGGTATCAGTAATTGTTGTGTATTTATCAAAATCTTTCGAAAGATCGGTGCGTTTGTTAACTTAACCTATATCATTAAGTTTTTTTTAAATAAATCCATCAAAAATAGCAAAGATACACAACAATTACTGATATCTCATTATATATGTAATTGAGTAAATGACGTCACATGGTTACAAACAAAATGAAATATCTCAAGAACTAAAAATGGAACAAAAATCTTCAAAACAAGTTATTATACAGTTTTAAGAGCATTTTCGTTTAAGAAAATAAAAATTTTGATGACAGTGCCACTTTAAGAAAAAAAGGTAAAATGTAAAGGAGAGCAAATTAATTTGAAAACCGAACTGAAATTACTCAACAATTTGAACTTAATAATTTCTTTGTAGGTTTGCATGGCGATAAAACATATAATAGTTTTTGTTTGTGGAAACACCACATAAAGTAATAAATTTACGTGGTGTTTCCACAAACAAAAACTATTATAATTTGAACTTATTTTGTTTTATCAAGTAAAAACAGTTTATGGGAAAAAGCAGTTTATAGTTTAATATTAAAATGAACATTTCAAAACATTTTACGAAGCGATTCAGGTTAAATTTTACGTTAAATCAAAGCTCACAATATGCAGAACAACATACCTACAGTACACATTTCGGAAATTCATTGTTTTTTAGTTAAAAGTAATAATCTTCAACTATTTTTGGCGTGCTATCACAAAGTAGAAACATACAGCGACGTAACTGACCGTCGTAAACACTGCGGAAGATTACGTTATCGTGTACCCACTTTTTTTTCAGGCGACCGGCCGAAAAATGATCAACTGCGCGTGCTCAGCAAGTTTAAAGTGAGTCGTCATCAGGTCGTCATCCAATCAGATGCATGCATCTAGTAACTTGCCGAGCATGCGCACAAAAAAAGTGGGTACACTAGTTACGTCTCTGTATGTCTCTACTCTGTGGTGCTATACAAAAAATATAATAAAAATTAAATTTATCATTTTATCCTGTTGCCATGGCAACACTGGCGTAAACGCGAGCCTGCGTTCAGTGTTGATCAATTACTAATACTTCATGTTATATCAATGTTTGGAAAATACATGCGAGGGGTTGCTGCGTGGATGTTGTTTTAACGTTTAACTTTTAACTTTTATGCCTTATGCTTCATGTTTTATGTTTTATGTTTTATGCTTTATGCTATATGTTATATGTTATATGTTATATGTTATATGTTATATGTTATATGTTATATCATATCATATCATATCATATATCATATATCATATCATATTATATGTTATACGTTTAACAAATATAAAACATTTTCCGTGTTGATATACTGTTATATCAACACGAGTGGAATTGGGAAAACGAGAAATTGCATGGAAACACGACGCCCGAAGGGCGGAGTGTTTTCATACAATTTCGAGTTTTTTTATAATATAGCAATGTCAAAAGCCTGAAGGATAAGAAAAATTTCCGTGTTTACAAGCGGCGGAAAATTTCCCGCGTTGACATGGAGTTATATCAACACGGCTCTTAGCCAATCAGAGTTCAGAATTTACAAATGCTATACTATACTATACTATATTACACTACACTACACTA